AATTTTTGTTCGTAATCTTTATTTATAATAATTTCGTTTAAATCATTACTGATACTAAATATAAATTTTGATATTAACAATCAATCATAATTTTCATATCACTTAATGAGAAACCAATGTTGTAACAAACAAAATTGAAAATTTCACTTCATATAAATTAAATAAACATTAAACATATGAGGCACTACAAACTTTCTATAACTTTTTTTGAATCTGAACGTTTTTGATAATCTGATAAAACTGCGTAATGTTAATATGACTGTGTTCAATCAAGGGCTGATGTAGAAGACAGTGTATAGTTAAATTATTTTCGTGTTTATATGTTAAATTTTAACTAAACTGTAATTAGTATACTAATTGAGGTAAATACATATTTACGTAGATAATGGTTTTCATAGAGACTGAATTATCGCTAACCCCAAACTATCCACTTATACTAATGATAACCCAATGAGAAGTTTAGGATTGTCCTTTAATATTCACAACAATCCAAAAATGTGTTATGATTATACTTCTATAATATAGGTTCAATTAATTTTGTACAACATTAATTATGAAATGGAATGTTTAAATGCATATTAGCTGAACCGATTGTAACTTACTTCATAAAAACATTATTTGATTTCTTCCTCGCCTCGTTCAGTTTATTGTTTAAACAAAGAATATCCATAGCAGAAATTTCTCGTTTTCGGATTTACGATATTTACTACGGAGTTATTTATTTACCTTCGATTACGCGTACATAACTAAATAAATGAACCAAAACTAATAGCAATTATATAAATAATAATCAAACGAACGATTCGCACCAGAAAATAATAACATATTGACATATCTAGTTTTTTTTCAGTGATAAATTCACCGTTAAAGCGTTCGACAGTTTCCGTTTTAATGAAAAATATGAAACTACAATTATCGACGGCGGAAAAAATAAAAATAAAAAAAATAACGTCTGTACATTTGTTACGGCTAAATTATTGCAGTACGAGCGGCACTCAAAAGTTCACAATCCCGGTTAGTGCGATGTTCATTAAATTCGCTGTAGCGGGTATTAATAAAGAGCGTTCTAAACGGACGAAATTAATTTAAAACGGGACATTATGGTTCTCACGTCGGTAGATAAATCATCGACGCGTGAGGAGGGAAGGGCTACGCTATCCGATAAGTATACGCATGTTGAGCAGTAGTGTTTCGTACGCGTAATATTTATCATAATAATTATAATTTTTTTCGCACCACACCCGGATCAACGTCGTAGCGTTAATAGGACACGTCCGCGGGTAATAACGTGCGATTTTAATAGAAAAGATGTACGGTATTGTGGGAAACGCTAACCAGGGGTGGGCAACTGGGGGCATTTCATCTGGCCCATGCTATGTTTTTAAATAATATCATACAGTTTTAAAGTTATCGTCTATCGACACAATAATTGTTATCTGGTTTAAGACACCGTTAAATGTTTAAATGTCATGTACAATACGTATACCATAGCTGTGTGTACCGAACTATTTAACTGTATCAGTGCCTTCGTATCATTCGTGTGTGTTGAATTTATGATTTTCGTGTACATAAATGCTAATCAAAATACATATTTTTAATTTTTTTGCTTTCCTTGCTCTGGCCCGCTAGATTTTAGTTTCCTAAAAATCGAGCCTCCAGTAACTTCGAGCCTATTCGTCCCTGGATTAAACGGAAAACGGTCGGATGAATATTACTTCGGTCGGCGTAGATAATGCACGGTCTCCCGACGAACGAAAATTCAAATCTCACACACAACCCGGTACGACGGGTAAACATAGCGTGTACCGCAACTTTGAGTACGTCGTAAATGTTGGACGCGGTTGAGCACTCGGCAAACGCGCGTGTTTCGCGAAGATAACAGGGATGTACACGCACCCGCGTTGGCCTTGTGCACCGCTGTTGGTTACAACGTCGCGTGTGGTAACAAACGGTGGTAATCATCGCGATCATAATAATAACGAAAAACGATAATGACACAGGGGCGGGCTGCAACGTTGGTCCCGTCTTGTCTCCGGAAACACAATTCGAGATGATTTTCCTCGGTGGATCTTAACATATTTTACCGCATTTTACCCCGTCCTGACCGTCATGGCCAACAATTACTATCAATCGCCGTTGTTTTCCAATAGCGATTATTGTTTATGTGTATTTATTCGCACTCTCGTTATTACGTTTTTAGTGTACCATCGTTTTTGCCGAGCGACCCGTATTCAGTTCAAAAGTCGTAATAGGACATTCTTGACTATTATCGTTTATCGTTTACCGATCAGAAGTCGAGATCACAGTCGAGAGTCAGAAAGCTGAAATGTATCCAGTTTTTTTTTTTTTTATTTCGTACATTTCGATTCTCGGTGATTTTTGTTCGTCCCGTAAACATTACATTTTTAGATACCCAGTGAAAACTCGATTCGTAATTTTAGCGTAGCCGATGTTTTCCGAATCAGTCGCACGTGGAGAATGTTTCAACACTGTTTTCGTGTCGTTCTTTTCATTCGACCCGTTTTCGAAGGCCAAATGTTTGCGAAATATGTCATCGCCTCGGGGATTACCGAGCAGTTACTAGTAAGTAAATTACTGGCGTGTTCCAGACGCAAGTTTGGTTTTTTTTTTTTTATTTTCCCCATTCGCAATGGCAACGTTTCCTTATTTCATTCGAGTTCAGATGCATATTTTATCAACTCGATGTTCGCCGAAGCGCGTCGTTTATTTCTCGATTATTAACTTTCATGCCAGCGTGTGATTGATCGAGTTAACGATTGAAAACCTCTAGTTAATGCGCGTCAACGCGCCGCCGGCGCGCCGGTCGAAAGACGGATACTGCGGTCGGATGTGTTGTACACGTAAGAGCGGCAGATTTGCCTACACGCGACGCCGCCGTGTGCCTGTGTAATAATAGACAATAACGATTTCGAATACGAACTCGGTCGGTACACGCCCATAATCGTCGTCGTATCGCGATTGATTTTAAAAATATACATGGGAACAACGAACGTTAATGATTTCCCACCGTGGAAAATCAAGTGTTCGTCGAGTGAACGCAAAACAGCGACGATTAGTAGCTGCGTCCACATGGGTGCCACCGATTTTAACGATAGGACGGCGTGTCTGTGAATGATTGAACCGACGCACGAACTTTTCGCGAGTTGTGCTGTAGCCCGATGAGCATTGTGATAAGGTACGGCGGTATATCATAAACCGTAATAAAATAATAGCGAGAAATAATATATTGAGCTAATCGTACTGGATTTATCGATGTACATTTGTTTCGTTCGCGTTAGCCGAAAACCCGCGTTCGCGCATAATACGCGCATTTTCATTCCGGTATACTAAACCCTGTCGGTGACGCGAAGCGATTCGGGTGAATATCCGTAGGGGATTGTGTATGGTTATATTATATAACAAATGTATGGATATCTATATTACGGAATTGTTTTACGTTAACTTTTTCGACAAGAAGGCGTAACAAGATCATGCGACTCGATTGATAGAAGTAACGTGGCAACATGTGTGACATGCATTATACTTCTTATACTTATCAACGTCGCAAAGATAGTTTTCAATACGGTACCGTCCGATGAATCGAATACGAATTATTGATGCGGGAATGAAAAAAAAACGAAAACGAAATCACAGATCGAACCGTTGCTTTCGGTGCGCTTATTGCCGATGATATGAAAACGATACATTCCGCTAGCTTATGTTGAGTACTTTTCGGAGATATTAAATTTTTACTCGTCCTGTGGAATCGAATTATTATTTTTACTAACTATGATAGTCCGTCTTTTGTTGTGATAAAATCTGAGTTCCAATTTTTGCCTCGTGCCATTGATTTTACAATACACAACAGTGTACAATTATTGTTAACTACGAGGTATAATATTGAGAAAACAATAACTACAGCGCATTATTATTAATATGATTGTTATTATTATTATTATCATGACATGATACGAGTATAATATCACGTATTACAGTAAGCAACACAGCGCGTGCACTATAATAACATTTGCGTGCGTAGGAATAGCGTGTGAACGTTATAATATTGTACGTCAGGGACTTCGGTTGTTCGGGGTTTTTTTATTTTTTTACTACATAACACTTTTGCACTGCGGTATTGTTTTACGTGCACTCGTAGCTGGTAATCTATACGGATCATCGCAAACGTTAATTAAATAATTTAACATAACGATCTTACATAATAACCACGTTCACTGCTAATGCCCGATGTTATAGATGCGAGACGTAGTACTTGGATAATTAAACGATGCGATTCCTCATTTTTATTCAATCATCTGCGGCGTGTATATTATCATCACGGTGATAACACTGCAGATCGCGTCTCAATCGCATACGAACCGCGATGAACGTAAATTAGTCTAGGAATGGTTCAAATTGTTAAGTAAATACTATTTGTTTCAAGAAATCGAGAGCAATCCAATAATAAACTTTATCGTATAAGTTAATGAACACGGTGATTTCCTATTAGGATTTTCAACGCGCACTGAAACGATTTGAGGCAGAACAAACCGTGTATGGCGCTTCGACGAATTTTAGTGTAAATAAGTACTCGTTATCCATTGACAACGGTTATTGCCCCTACTTCTACTGCACTGTACATTATATGGGTTTGTGTGTGATTCATGTCATATAAATCTGTATCTTCTAAAAGTTCATAAAATCCAAACTTTTGGATTTTGTTATCCATGTTCTGTATCTTTTTACCTACTAAATTGAATTTGAATTGTTGAACCTAACCGTTTTAGACTATTTAGAGTAATATTCTAAATAGCTTTGATTCATATAAACTTAATTTAAACGCATTTCGTTATAATTAACAAAATAATATCCTAATCGATTGTTTTGTAATCCAAAATTCTGGTTCGGAGTGATTTTAGAATTTACAATTCGGGGGAGTTGGTTTATTAAAATATATCTACACGTTTGAACAATTAACGAACGTGTGCGTTTTCGTCCCGCAGGTGTTCCACGTGTGTGCGTTCACCGATGACGGTCTGACGCAGAAGAGCTTCCTGTGCCCGGAGTCGACGCTGTTCGACCAGACCATACTGAAGTGCAACTGGTGGTTCTACGTGGACTGCAAGTCGTCCAGGAAGTTGTACGACAGCAACATACCCATATCGAAGAGCTACCAGCTGATGAAAGCATTAACGTTCTTCTCGTCATACGCGGGCGGTCCCACCGTCGACGCGTCCGTGGCCGCCGCGACCGCGGCCGTGTCAACTGCGTACGACCACGACGAAAGATCACCGGACAAGTCGGCCGACGGAGGGTCACCTGACAAATCAGCCGACGGACGATCACCGAACAAGTCGGCTGACGAAGGGTCGCCGGGTCAAAAATCGTCCACCACGGCGGTGCCGACCGCCGAATTCCTGCCCGCCAGCTCGTCCGCGGCCAGTTCCACCGAGATTCTGGACAACGTGTCCTTCCGGAGACGATGATTCGACGCGATTCCCGGGCCCCGGTGTTCTGCTGCTGCACTATCCCGTTTCATTTTTTACATTGTTTTACCCTCCGCCGCCGGTGTGGTGACTCGAGAAACGCGGTCGATTTCTCGTTTTATTTATTATATTACAATGTACTTTTCTTTCGATTAGTATTATTTAACTTATCGCCGATGCGCACGTTCGTGTCGTAGTGTTATTATTATTATTATAATTCTTTTTTCTTAGAGACTAATTTCTAGATTCGTACCTTGTGATATTGTGATAAAACTATACATGTTCAAAATTATAATCATTTGTGTACGTGTACATGTATAAATTATCATATTATTATTATTATTATTATTATTATTATTATTACTGTAATGACATTATGTATAGTACGCTTCAAATATGTTTTCGAATTGCTCATTTTAAATTTAAATTGTTATTACTTTGATAACATTATAATTCCATTCGTAGTTTTAATAAAATTGTTTCTTACAGTTTAAGTGTACAACTTGTATTAGACTTGTGTAGTATTATTTTTATAACGAAACTTTTATACGTTTATAGCATTTTTATTTTTATTTTTTATTTACAATTAAATTAATTTAAAGCGTATATAATTCGTTGCAGTTTTGACGTTATAGTTCGCTAAATATATTTTCATCCCCATAAATATAGACTTTATGGAATTATTTTACATCGAAAATGCCATTATAAAGTCCTGTGACCCATACATTGCAAATCGATATACATGTAGGCAAGATTTCACGATAATCACATTTTCACGAAATCTAACTATACGTTTTTCAACAATTTTCTTTGCGATGCAAGTATTATAATTTATATTTATAAATACTTACTTCTTTTTATCAAAGTCACTCTTTATCATAACATACAATAATATATCGCGTGTTACATATATTTTTATTTTTATTCTGATTTAATTCTAATTTTTCATCGTGATAACTTACATTTTTCATGCGTATAACCGTTGGCTCATACATCGTTTAAAAATTGGAAACTATTTTAATTATAGTGCTACAAAATAAATTAATTTGTGTTTGTTTGGTTTCGTCGTAAGTTTTTTTAATTTTTTTTGCACGATTTAATAAAACGTTTTACAGAAAACTTTAGTCCGATGTATTTAAAACATCTTATAATTTTAATCGTTACTCTTCCATGTTCCACTGGACTGTTACGCGAAAACGTTGCCTCCGAAAACGTTCAAACAATTCGAGCGCATAAATGAGAGTTTGTAATTTGCACCACTCCAGGAAGTGGAAAGTAGTGTTTGTAATTTTCAACATAATAAAGATATATAATTTACACCACCCTCAGGTAGTCAAAAGTAGAATTTGTAAATTGCACCAAAATGAAAATCTATTTTATCGATTAGCGAATATTCGATATAATAATATTCGATTATTCCTCAGTATCTTCATCGATATCGAAATTAGATAGACTCGCATAATAATAATAATTTTTTGTCTAAAACAATGAAATTATTATATTCTTATCATTAACTATTGACTATTCTTATAAGGTAGCTTCGAAATGAATACTGAAGTACCGTATAAAGCTCGGTGTAAATAAATTAAATAACGGCTCAGAATGCAAAACCTAAAATTCTGTGTAATTAGCTTCTTATACCTCGATATATAGAAACTTGTACGTTGGTACTATCGAAATACTATCGAAAAAATAATAGATATTAATTTTGGAACAAATTACAATTCCTATTTCTTACCACCTAAGGATAATGCAGATTATATATCCTGATTTTAGAGCAAATTGCAAACGCATTTCAAACATTTTGGTGAAAATTACACAAGGTGTATATATTTTGGGTCGATTTTGGTGCAAATTGACTACAACCGCACAAATAAGGTTCGTTAACCGTAATAATAATTTTTACGCGTTCCGCAGCGATCGCGTAAGACTATGTTCCGATCGACAGTAAGGCCTGCGCGAAATATCGTGCTTGAAGTTCATCCAACGCGACTCGACGGCGACGACATGGTGACAACACCTAACACCGAACCTAGTTTCACCCGTAACTAGTTTTGGCTGTACGTTCGCAAAGTTTTCGGGCACATTATTTGTCGACCAATTCGCAACACTGTTAAAGCGAAAACGATCGTTTCGGAGCTGCGAAGTTTTTAGAGAACCTGGTGGTATTATAACCACTAACGTAATTCGATTTACGGAAAGTCTCCAACGTGTGCGCTGCCGTGTCCCTCGGGAGATGATCTTTAATTTCTGGGTAGGCGTTTTATTCCGAGAGGAGTGATTCTTATGTCTCTTCGATGTTCTATTAACGAGCGGTTCTGTATGAAACAAAAAACCGTATACCAACCCTAAACATGGAAAATAAGTGAGGTTTCTGATTAAGGCTTTTTCGAAGATATCAACCTTAACTTTACCTAAATGGCTGATTATCGAAGTCGAACTTTTCGATATTTTTTTAATTTTTTTTTTTTTTCAGACGCCAGTGAAAGAGAACAGGCGGGCGAGAGGTTTCTGATGATCTAAAAGATGCATTGAGTGAAAAAAAGATCGGTAAACATCGCTCTGTACGACATTCGCAATCTGTGCGTCGTTAAGAGAAAGAAAAAAAAAACATTAATTATACCTAGGTATACAGCTGTATATAGAGTACAATGAGTGCGGACGAAATGTTTCCGCAAAATTCCTTTTGTAACATAAAACAGTGCCTAATACGCTCGTGTTTACGCAAACGTGCAGTGTATGCTCGATATGTCCGTGAATTTTTTACAGTACAGCAACCCCCCTGATGTATGCGCAATTCAATGTTATAATGTACGCGTGTTCGTATTATTATATTATATTACATTTTTCTTGACATTATTTTACGTACATCCATCATAATATGTATAAATATATACATAGAAAAATTTTGTACGTATACTTTTCTCGGTAAAGCGAGTCGTGAGTAAATTGACGTTAAGCTCGATTTCCGTTAAATCTACCTAACCTATTGTTCCATCCATAAGATGCGCCGTACAACATGCACCTGTTTCGCAACGGAAATATTTCATCTAATTTTTAACGACTTCCAGTTTTACTTTCTCCTCGCTTCCCCCAACAACTCTCAGACCTTCGTCAACGAAAAACCGTATAGGTTCCCAGGATCGACGGTTCACGGCAAATTATTCCCGAAATCTGCCAATCGACCAAATAAATTTCCGTCTCTTTGACGGTTCAAAATATTTTTCGTTAAATCTTACCACGGAATATCGAAAAAAAAAAATAAATAAACAGACTTTCGTGTTGTTAAAATACATTTCGAATATATTACACGTAATATTGAATCGTGAGTGATGCGGATAAAGTAATAACCCCTGTATTTCCTGATTTATATATATTATTATTTTTCATTATCAGTCATTTAGTAATGAAAAAAAATCAAAATCAAACAATGTCGACGGAAAACCATTAATTTGCACCTCCATTTCTTTTCAAAGTTAAGGGTACATCGTTTTTCGTTCGATCTGAAAATACTCACAGGGCAAAGACATGAGATGAACCGAAGAATCACCGCCCTGAATCCAAAACGCCCATAATGGGATGAAGGCGCATCCACATTGGGAGCCACTTGTCTATATCCGTGATAACATTTCTGTCAGCGGTCAACGGGAATACGGAATCGTTTTTTAAATTGTATGCGAAATTATGGTTTGTTGTTCGAAACACTTTAAGGGTAATCAGGAGAACGAGCGCGATTGCACGGCAGCCAATTGATGGTGCGCAGTCGGAACAAGACAATGAACCCCTTGTCCATGCACTATTCGAAACGAATTCGACGCGTTTCCCTATGCGCGATCACCTTGTTGTTTCTCGACGAATTATTGCGCTGACATTTTTCGTCTAATTCAAAAAACGTTCCGAACACCTTCGACGATCCTTGAAATAATTTTGAAATAAGCTATTTAAATGCGCTTCCCAAAATAGGTGATGAATCCGGCGTTTTTTTTTTTTTTATTTTGTGTTTCTTACGAGACCAAAGGTAATCAGTGACGCACTCTTCCACGTCGATTTTGATCGATTGCGCGCGTCGGATTGCCACGACTGACGTCTCGACGACCGTTGCTCGTCGACTGACTGCTTATAACAAGACTAAATATTGTGACTGCGTAGTGCGTCTAATTGCTCTAAGAAACTGGGGACTTGGCACTCTCGTAGGGTTCGATTTTTCCTGTTTATCGTACACGTAACCATGCATATAATGGGCTTGGATATCAGCTTTTGTTCGGATATAATACGTTAACAATATAATATAATAGAAACAATATAGACAGACGAATGAATATTCTTTTAAGCGTTTTGTATTGAATGATTGACAACGCTATTAAAAAATAAATACGTTAAATAATAATAAACGTTAAGAAAAAAAAAACAGTGTTTTAATGCATAAACAGTCCGTACTAGGAAAAAAATTAATACATAAATGTACAACGTAATGGGAAACAACACAATATGTTGTAAAATATTACGAGGTTTATTTTTTACCCTTTCACGTTTTCATTCCTCTCGGGCACGACACGAGTATGGCTAATAACGAAGCCGTGCTTACCGTTTTCTTTTACGACTCGTGCATGGCAAATACCTGTTTTCGGCCAATTTACTAATCACTTTCACGCCAATTCTTGTATTTTGTACAGAAATAATTAAAATAATATATTTTAAAGGTAAATTTTTCGTGTTATCGTGTATGATATAATGATCAACAGAACCAAATTCATTTTCAAACATTTTGAAACCAAATTCATTTTCAAACATCTGAAAATTGAAAAAACTCGATAATGAGTCATAGTTATTATTTCTTTCCTTAAAGTCAAATCTTTATATTTTTACATTTTCAAAGGCATGAAAATATATTTTTCGAGTTTTTAGGTAACTGATGGTGGTACATGGGTGGTATAGGGTAACTAAATTTTACATAAATATACATTTATTAATAAATTCATATTTGTAGAAGTATTATATATTTTCATTTAGAAGGACATGCATACCCCACCAGGGGGAGGGTTATTGAACCCAAGAATTCTTCTTTTCCGTATAATTTAATTACATAATATTATTATATTACATAATTTATATATAACATAATTTCGTACATAATTATACTGCATGTTTAAATCCATATATATATACGACATCAAGGGGTTTTTCAAAGTTCCGGAGTTCACACCAGTGATAATTTAGTAGACGGCATATATATACATGGTATTCTACAAACCACCTATTTGAAGTATTAGATTATTGTGGGTAACATATACGTAATATATTACTGAACACTTAATAAATATACAATGGAAATTGTTTCACAAATCAATAATAATAAATTTGAAAGATTCGATACAAACAGAAAAATACAATGTTCGCGTACCAAGTCGAGTTAATAAAAACCAGCGTTTCATCGTAGTACATTGACGAGTATTATTTATGTTAAACAGCTTTAGAGTGCACGAGAATACAACATAATTCCTAAAGAAAATAAATAAATAAATAAATAAAGAAATTCGTACTCTCTCAAAACGAAC